AAGTGTTTCCAATACTCCTTGTATGGATGATGTCAATTTATCATACAATTATCTATAAAGTACCTGTATTTCACCATTACGTAAAGTTGTTGTTTTCACTTGTGAGAATAACATGTTATTTTCACTTTCGAGGTTTCTCTATATAATGGGAGTAAGAAAAAAGCTACGCTCACTCGTGAGAGATCTTTTCAACACTTGAAGATAAAATCCGTATCTCGGCATGCCCATGTAATATCCTCTATATCTTGTAGGCATGGTCATGGACGATTCGTGTTCGCTTCGAGTGGTGAATACAATGGTGGCTGGCAGTATGATATGATGTCTGGTATGGGCACCATGACCTACCCTGATGGCTCCTCTTTTGAGGGTGTATGGGACGAGGATGAACCAGATGGKTGTGGCATTTTCTTGTGGCCAAACGGCGATRCCGAGTGTAGGGATTGCAACAAAGGTCAAGGTGAGTATTTGTGTGAGCATTTTTGGACATACGTTTTGCATCGTAGTTGGAAGTGTTGCACTCTATAACAGTTTCTTTAGTCTTCTTTTCCCCGGGTGACACAAAAGAAAAGCAATCCACTTGGTCAAACGGGAAAGACCCTGCTTCTTATAATYAGGTCCTAATTGCATAGCGTAATCAACGCTATTTAGTAGTAATAAGTAGAGTGATCGCACTTAAACCATAACTSTACAAAATATAAGCAGTACTAATTGGTACTAAAAGTGGGCCTGAAGCAAGACGGTATTGAATGCTTCATATATCAATTCAATTTAATTTGCGTCATACTACATGCACGATTTACTAAATACAACTAAATAGCGCTATTTAGTTTGTACAGTTGCACTCGAATATTTGTTTCGTGGATTTAAAAATTTAGAAAGTTTTCATGGATTTAAGTTTTTTTTCCTCACTAATCAATCATAGAAAAATCTTTCTATTTTCTTCACATAGTTCAAAGATCTTTTCGACTTCGAGGAAAAGGCCAATCGGTATCTCCCTACAACGATTCATTGCGAGACTACGCTATTTTGCGTATCAAATATCAGAGCATCCTTGAAGAGAAAACKCAATTGCTACAGATGAATTCAAGACTGAGAGACAMTGCTGAACAGCAGTCTAATCAACTTACGACCATCGAGGAAAGACTGAAGCAACGCCATGACGAAGACCTAAAGCGTGTCAAGCAAGAAATGTGGGAAGTYTCCTTCAAGAAAAAGTTGAGCTTCGAACAAGAACACCAAGAAAAATTAAGGACGATGAAAGAAAGGTGAGCTCAATGGGCTGGTAAACGATCGATCTATCAATATTACAAATCAATCATGTTCCCTGCGCCATCTTGAAAGGTAGCTGTACCTCTCCAACGAACCGAGGCGGCCGTTGAGCTTGCAATGATGAAACACCTACAGACAATTATTCACAGATATCTATCATTGCACACTCAACAGTCGTCTCACTTCGATGCAAAGGAACTGCTACCTTTTAAGATGGCGCAGGAAACCGTAGAGAAGATCAATTAATCAATTAATCAGACATTCGATTAATCAGTAAATTTGATTACTTAATGAATAAGCCATTTGCTTATTTAATCAATCAGTCCTTCAATCATGCGACTAATGAATGATCAATTGAATCAAATTAATCAATCAATTATTCAATCATTCGTCAGGCAACCGTTTATTCAGGCTATCTGTAACATTTGAACATCTGGCATTTAACATTCAAGTGGCAGTCGTTGCTCAAATTAATCAATTCATGAAACCACCATTCAACCAATCGATTGAACCAATATGGTGTTGGTTTCTCTTCAGTGTTGTTGTTGGTCAACTCAGAACAGAATTCAGAACAGAATTTTTTTGTTTGTTTGGAGGAGGGGAGGCCACATATTATGTCAAATCCTCCATGGAAGGTGCCCCTCTCTACCCTAGTGAGGCAAATACAAAAAAAATCCACTTTATAGGGTTTTGGAAAATTTTGAAAGTTACTAAAAAGATCTAAGAAAACATGAAAAAAAAACGTGATTAACATTTTATTTTTAGTCACGAAAGCAAGATACAAGAGCTGGAAGAGAAGATTGGTCAAGTGAAGATCGAACTAGAAGCCAATAAAGCGGCTGTTATATGTCAGATCTGCTTCGACCGTGCACGTGACTGCATTCTCATGCCTTGCACGCATATGTTGTACTGTAGAGTTTGTATATCAAAGGAGAAAAGGGAAGGGCGGAATCGATGCCCTGCTTGTCGTTGCTCCATAAGTGGAGAAATTACCTGTAATATAGGAAAACAATAAGATTTAAAACGTTTCTCACTTAAAATGCATCCTGGGTAATCAGGACAAACAGGCGATGTGTAGCAACGCCATTGTATACAACAAAGCATGATGGTCGTTGTTATGTTCCTCGTCCATTTTCATGTCCGATAAAACAGTCCTTCTGAAATGTTTTGCTTTATTTCTAAGACAAAATAGATATTATTTGTCGTTTCTACAAAGAAACCCTAAGGGCAAGGGTTTTTATAAGTACGAAGACTATAACTACCATCATGCTTTGCGGCATAAAATGGCGTCGCTACACATTAGACCTATTAAAAATACGAAAGTTTCATTTTCACTAGTTTGGCGAGTGACACGCAAGGAGGGAGAAAAACGCGCGCGCTACGTGGCTAAGGGAGTAGAATAAAAACATGAAAAATCGTGTTGTTTCCTTATCTGTCTCTTTCTCCTCCGCTCACTTCACTGTGAGAGGTGACCGAACTTTTACATCGAAGCAAGACGACCACTGAGCTTGCAATGACAGACACCTGCCAATAATTGAAGATGCACGTTCGGCGTTCATCTCGCTTCTGTGCGCGAAAAACAGGTTCTTACCTAACAAGACCATGAAGGAGACTGTAACAGGACAGCATGGATTTTTCTGAGGTCTTCATTTGCTGTATCGATTATAGGGATTATGTATTCTCAAACTCATTAATAATTCATGACCTCATAGTCCAATCGGATGTTTATTTTAGAGTCACGTGCATACCCTTGGATACCATGATCCAACATCGAATGCTAATTAGTTCCAAACCCGTGTGTTTAGATATCCAAATTAGCCGATAACAAAACGAGCAGGGGCCTGGGACTGAAAATTCTAAAAGTGCTACAATCTTACAGAAATCTGTTGTTGATAGATAATGCACATATAAATTAGCTAATAAAGTTTGAGCAAGTTTAAGTCATTAGAATTGGGAATATAATTTTTCAAAAATTTCGAAAATTACAAAGAATGTATGTTTGGCTGGACGCTTTGGCTGGACACCATACATTTCTTTGTAATTTTGGCATGGTTTGAATGTCCACTCGTGCTTCGTGTTTCATCAGGGGAATCTAAACATCTCGAAACGGCAAAAAGCACTTGGCCTTCGGCCGCGTGCTTTCATCTGTTTCTCGTTGTTTGGATCCCCTGATGAAACACTCGCACTCGTTTTTGATCTATTACATGAAACACACGTGCCTCACTAATGTAATCTCAATTAGTTCTATGACAGTGCTGAATGTTTCCTTGCCAATCATATAAAATCGATAGTAGGCACTTCTGAAAGTGTCCATGGTCTATAATTATANATATGTCAGATCTGCTTCGACCGTGCACGTGACTGCATTCTCATGCCTTGCACGCATATGTTGTACTGTAGAGTTTGTATATCAAAGGAGAAAAGGGAAGGGCGGAATCGATGCCCTGCTTGTCGTTGCTCCATAAGTGGAGAAATTACCTGTAATATAGGAAAACAATAAGATTTAAAACGTTTCTCACTTAAAATGCATCCTGGGTAATCAGGACAAACAGGCGATGTGTAGCAACGACATTGTATGCAAGAAAGCATGATGGTCGTTGTTATGATCCTCCTCCATTTTCATGTCCGATAAAACAGTCCTTCTGAAATGTTTTGCTTTATTTCTAAGCCAAAATAGATATTGTTTTGTCGTTTCTACAAAGAAAGCCGGGCTAGGGTGTTTTATAAGTACGAAGACTATAACTACCATCATGCTTTGCGGCACAAAATGGCGTCGCTGCACATTGCCTATTAATGTGCACATTACCTATTTTATTTTCACTAGTGAGGCGAGCGACACGCGAGGAGGGAGAAAAACGCGCACGTGACGTGGCGGAGGAAGTAAAATAAGAAAATGAAAAATCGTGTTGTTTCCTTATCTGTCTCTTTCTCCTCCGCTCACTTCACTAGTGACACTACACTTTTACATCGAAGCACGACGACCACTGAGCTTGCAATGACAGACACCTGCCAATAATTATCTGTAGGTGTGGAAGATGTACGTTCGGCGTTCATCTCGCTTCGATGCGCGAATAACAGGTGCTTACCTAACAAGACCAGGAAGGAGACTGTAACACAACAGCATGGATTTTTCTGAGGTCTTCATTTGCTGTATCGACAATAGGGATTATGTAACGAAACACACGTGCCTCACTAATCTTATCTCAATTAGGGCGTCCCATTTCATTTTTGATTGGAAGAGGGGAGGGAGGGGGGTTTAAGGAGAATCCCCAATAAATATCGAGCAGGTCTTTTAACCTGAAAAAATACGACCAATATCAAACAGAACAAAAAAATATCGAACAGCATCAAAAATCAAATGGTCTCTCCTTTATCTGTTCCCGTTGTACGTCGAATAATAAAATAAACCTTTCTGTGCCAATATCTTGTGCTTGTTGACTGGGGGAGGGTCGGACGGGAGAATATTTCCATCGAGGGGCAGAAGTTAACTGTGAGCCGTGAAATGGCTGAAAAATTAGTCGTGAGTCTTGAAAATGAAAAAAAAAATAACCGTGAGGCGTGAATATTTTTTTATAGCGTGAGCTGTGATTTTTGATCCTCAGAAGGACAGTCAAGAAAATATAACAATTGGAGTTTTTGCCGAAACTAAGATCGAACCTCGGATTTCAAATCGGTCATGGATGTCTACAAATGACCTTGTCCAGTACTTGGATATATCAAATGACTCAACCGTGTCTTGGATTGACTCTTTAACTCGTGCCTTTAATCGAACAACATTTACTGTCTTTACTGCATAAATTTATGAGGCTTAACCTACTCATGACCATACTGAAAGCGATAGTAAGTCTATACCGGGTTGGAGAAGAAAAGACTTTTGAACGTTACAAGGCACGCCTAAACATTTTAGGTAAAGTAGCTCTGCTTAACGACCTCGAAAAACCTGAAAACAAAACCGAGGTTTTGTGAATTAATAGGGAGGCCATGGTCTTGCCAAAGTTAGCGGCAAAATCGAAAAATGGGTTCTTATAAGCGGGTAAGTACTGTAGCGGCATCAGCGGCCCGAGTTTAGTTCTACCTTTTCGTCAATCTATGTTTCTATGTATTAGGTCGCGTTTTGAACAACGGAAGTGGACATTGTACATTTAATTGCGAAACAGCTGGACGTTGGCGCTCGTCCGAAGTTAATGTTGATCTGGATGGTACAGGTGTGAGCTGCAGCTTTACAAGTAATGGGAATTTGCTGCAAATGCAAATGCCATTTTTGTTACTGATGCTGTATCTGAGAAAGTGAAAATGATGGTTGTTTTTGCTGGGACACGCGAATTCCTGCAAGGGAAGTCTCTCATAATGACAATTGCACCAGAAAACGTGGTTTCGAAATGAGAAACAAGACAGTGCATCATATATACAGTCGGCCATACCAATGTTAAAGAATACAAACAGCTGAAGAAAGAAGCATCCACAAATGGACCTGAAGGGACTACGTTTCTGTAAAGACACAAGTTTCAAACTGAACTTTTGTCGAAAGGCATACATAGACTTTTGACAAACTTAAAAAATGTAAGCAAGAACTTCAATGACGAGATCGAAATGGAAGACGCTGCTGACAACATCGATGCTAACATCCACTAAAGTATAGACTCGCCTGACGAGTATGTAAGCAATTCATAGTTCCGACAAATCAAACTCGTTATCCGCGCGCGCTGGATTGGCCAATCAAAATAGAGGACACGTAATGGCAGCCATGTTGTCCCACAAAAAATGTAAACAAGTCGGTTCGGAGGGCGAAGTTGAGATGGTTTTGAGATGTTGCTGGAGCCCTTGTAAAGCAGATGAGCGCTAGCCAGCCAGATGAAATGGAGGACGATTTATTTTGATTCCCAAGACAACAACTAGCCTAGAAAAATGCTTGAATTGGATCAAAATGTACGGAAAAAGCACGAAGTGCTCAAAGTAAAACTCATGAAAAATAATTAAATCATTTCTCTGGGCCTTTTTCAAATTGACTTCAGATTGTTTTTAACAAAAGAAACAGAAAATTTATCGGAAATTCTATCGACAAATCGTCCAAAGAATGTCATTTACAAAATATCGAAAGCATTTGTGGGACAAGCGCGAGCGTTCGATTCCCGCGCTTTCTTCTGATTGGAAAATCGCGCGCTCGCGCTTGATTTGTCGGATCTATGAATTCGGACAACATTATGGTAGACATTGAAGACTTGGACTTCCCTTACGAGAAGGCAGTAATTACAAGATCTGGCAAACAAGTCAGGGCATGTAAAAAATTTGATATTCTAGATAAAAGATAATTGATCGTTTTCACCAATTCCCATGAGATTCAAAAGATAAGAGACCGGCGGCCATTTTGGAGGAATGAACAAGAGATACTAATGAGAAATCCTGTGTTAATGTTCCTCCAACATGGCCGTTGTGACGTAAACTGAAAACGAAGGATAACTGAGACCATTTAAGTGTCCATAACGTACAAGGTGACACTATGCTCTCACACTCACCATCTCTTTATTGATTTATTTAACACTCATCTCTCCTCGTATGTTTATTTTTACAGTGGGAAGAAAACCTGAGGAACTATAGAAAAACCCTCGTGGCAAGGGAGAGAACAAAACATCAAATCCCATTATGGTTAGCCTCTTTTGCAGGCTATAGCTACTCCAACGGACATTTTTCTCTTCTTGGTCTTCCTGTGTTCATAATATATCTTGACCGAGAAGAATTGTTGTCGAGAGATTAGGAACAACGAATAAGATTTTCCTTCCTTCCTTGCCCCCTCTCCCTGCGACAGCTTTTTTGTTTATCTTAACACACGAATCCACAGAGTAGAGTTGCCTGAGAAGGAGGCTACATTATGGTGTGTGCCCAGAAACCGAACCCAGTGCACAGAGGTCAGAGGTTAGCAGCTAGTTAACCACTAAGCCACCCATGCCACCCAAACCCCATAAACGTATATAGGCGCGTACCTTAATGAGAATAATTATATATATTTGGTGTGGTCTTAATAACTAAGTTATTAAAAAAACAGATCAAATAAACAAAGAACATAAAAAAGCCAGCCTATAAAATCATTAAATTCGCCTTTCTGTTATTGATAAACAAAGTTTCTTCTTGTTCTAATTTGAAATCTTTGCCCCCACAAGACTGTCTAACACTAGAAAGGATATTGATTCAGTTTTGTAAGCATACAACTCGAAACTCTATGCGATCTGCACATGCGCGTACTTCTAATGCCTAGACAGACGCATTCCGATGAGATCACAGATACCACATTTGTAAACGAATAGTTTTTTTGTCATATAAAAGCCAAGTAGCATATAACATTTACTAACGATATTCGTACATCAATACGCTTCAGCTTCCGGTCATGTAATAACACAGCCAACCCAATAGTTAATTATTAAATTCTTAACTTCCGGTGGTCCAAACGCGACATAATACATAGATAGATTGATTGATTGATTGACTAAAAGGTAAATTTAAAGTCGGACCGCCTTCGGCTAGTCCGACTAACAAGTTATACAAGACTTTCATAATGGCCGACATTAATTTGCATATTATCGCTCAATTAATAATATTGACAAACGAAAACACTCAAATGGTAGACATCAAAGCCAAAGATAAACTCTGAAAGTTTCACGATATCAAATCCTCTTTAAGTTATAAGAGTTATAAGAGGAACGAGGCTACCCAGTCACTAGCAAAGAATTCCATACAAATCCCTGTATTTTTATTCTTCCATAACTTAGTTAGTATTTGGTCCATGTCTTCAAAACTTTTCATGAATACCTATTTCTAATAGTTCTTCCGTATGACAGTTTTGAATGTTTCCATAACATTATTAATTGTATAAAATCGATGGTAGGCACTTATGAAAGTGGTCTATGTCATTCGTAAAAAAAACAAGAAAAAGATTCACGTTCATTAC